TGGTTGTCTGCGAGTTTTGGAAACACATTCATGATATTAACTCAGTTTTTCAGTTAGAGAAAATGGTTTGTTTTGGTTATTTGTTCTTTTAATATCGCGCAAAGCTACAAAATGGCTATCTGCGCTAGTCGTCCCTAATTTAGTTGTGAAAGCAGCTAGTCATCACCTACAGCCAACTCCTGGGCTACTCTTACCAACAAAGAGTAAAGTGGGAATTAGGGTGAACAGAGAGGTATAAATGTCAGGAATTGAATGATTGGTCCATTACTATTTTTAGTTAAGTGCTGATTCAACAACCTCAAACACGAACTAGTAAACCAGGTTGGGTAAATGTGCATAGTATTTTTGAATTTCTACAAATCTGACTGGAGTGTACATGATAAAATGAAAACAAAAGGAATCGGGTATTTTAAATCGATACAAACTTAAACACTCGCTCACTTTGGTATTTGCAGACATTTTACAATATCTAATAACATTCGTTCAGCCGTCTCGAGCTGCTACAAGAGAGATGAAACAGACAGTTTACGATTAGAAAATGTGGTTGACACGCTGACAACTACTAGATTCAGGCATTAGCTTTAAATTGTAATACTATAAAATTTAAAAATTCTATAATATAATAACTGTTTTAAAGATTTATTTTCTTAAACACGATGTTATTTTTATCTACATTTTTCATAATTGCGATTTTGTATTTCAAATTGTCTTTTTTTTTCGTAGTTTGTTATATCTTTTCACTAGAATACGTTTTTTAGTAAAAATTAATGCTTTATCAAGTCGTTTAAAAAAACAATTTCACTGAACTAAAGTTATATTTCCATAAAAATACGCTCCGCAATTTGGACCCATGAATGTACTACAAGATTGATTTTAAAATTCCACCATACGACTATAGGGCTGTTCTAACCATTCGACATTTTGGGCTAAAAAAGGAAAGCACAAATGTGTCAGCTGACGTACAGTCTTGGTGTTGTATTTTATATAATCTACGTATACACAGTATATTAAAACAACGTATAAATTAAAAGTCAAATCTCAAATGAAGAGCAATTCGTTTCCAACACGTATTACTACTACTACTACTGAACGGTTCAGACCAGGACTTAACAAGTCACATAACTCCGTCTTTGGAAAGCAACATTCTGCATTTGCAAGTATTTCTAAGAAGAAAAAAAAAGTTTCCATGATCTTTTACGATATAATAAACCCGGAAAAAATGTTCTTTGTAAAAAACAATTTATTTCTCAAATTTTATTTACGAAACTCATGTTTACAGTAGTGTGCTTGAAATATTCGATGATTAAAAGTCGATTCCTGTGTAAATTGCGTATAATAAACGATTTATGAAAATAGCTAAGAAAAGGCGCATTTGAAGTTTTGTAAAATTATAAGATAGCTTGCGGAACGCTGTTTTCACAAGCTCTAAATACAGTTTGAATTACAGGAAAGTTCAGTCCGGATAGCACTGTTTAAACGTACTCCAAAAATCGGTAGTCAAAACCCAAGTACCATTGCATCCGAATGGTCCAGCCTTGTGAATTCGGGCGAAATCGTTGCAGGAAATCTGTCCATCGTGATCGCAGTCTTGTGCCCATTTCTTCATGTAGCCTTCTACAGCTGCTTCGGCACATTGTGGATTTTTAAGACAAACTTCGAAATCTGAAAAATAGAAAATTAGAATTAAATTGAAGCTATATCGCTAAAAAGTGTGAAAGATTAATTCTAACAATAGATTATATTAAAGTACATAAATCAAAATGTCTTCGTTTATTTTATGATATCCAAAGAAAATAGATAAATAAGTGAAGAAGTAAGATGATAATCTTTTAACTTTTTTTCTTCTCTCTCTTCAGTAGGAATTTCCACTTCAAAATTCTTTTCTAGGTAAATAAACATACTTCAAATAGTGTGTGTGTGTGTGTGTGTGTGTGTGTGTGTGTGTGTGTGTGTGTGTGTGTGTGTGTGTGTGTGTGTGTGTG